AATCTCATGACGCACACCTCGGTCCGGAGGTAGGACCGAAGGCGGGTCTTTGGAGACGCAGTCTTGAAACAGTCCCAAAGGATAGTACAGATCCAAGAAATCCCGTAGGATCGACGATCCACTCCGTGCGTTCAGCACTCTTTTGGTGTCCTCTAAGACAACTTCATCCAGAAGCGATGACGGGTTTATCTTCTCGTCCGGTCGTACAATGACCACTTCGGCCAAATCGCCTGCCTTCAAGGCACTGCCGAGCTCTTCAAGAGACATCTCGTCCAGCTCAAGAAGATCATCTACTGCAGGCATAGCCTCGAGGCGGACGTCACCATCTTCTTCCCCGTCATACTGTTGACGAGGGTGTATAACTGTGCACCATCGTCTACGGTAGACACAACCTGGTCAGGGTCGACACCCGGTGTCTTGCAGCCAGCAGCCAGCATACGGCGTCGCCGTCGTCTCTGTTCGGAGGTGATATGAATCGGTGAGACACGGGCGAACACGTATTCTGCGTCGTTCTGGTGTCACCCTCACTGTTTGCTACTTTGAGCTCTGATGTTATCTACATTATCCGATGAAGAGCTGCTAACCCCGCAGTCTTCGTCCAGTGGATAACGTGCCACTCGACGCGCGTCTGAAGAGCCGTGCCCATGATGCATCGGACTCTGTCCGACCATGCCATCAATGGCATGCAGCGACTGCTTCGCAACAAGAGCAATGCTCAGTGGTTTTTGTGCCACTTCACGTGCATCACGGTGGCCTCGCCCTCGATGCCTCGGCCCTTGGCCAACCATGTCAGACTCGTAATCGACTACCTTCACATCCTCAACGAGGTCACTCGTCATTGATAGCGTGCGCAAAGCGCGACGCTCGTGCTCATCGAGCCTATGACGTACATCCCCGGGTGCCGCGGACGCACTGTCCGACATCGCACCACGTGCCGGAGACGAAGTTGGGCTCTGCCCGTGCTCGCTGTCAGAACCAGCGAGATTTGGTGATGTTCGTGCCGTGGACTCAGGGCTCATTGAGCAAGGAAGTTGTTAAATTCAAACAAATTGAGTTGCAGTGTCTAACGGACACGCGAGCCTCGCTGAGGCAATAATCGATTGGAGCTGTAAATGTTCTCAATCTTAATGGGGAAGGGTGTAACGGGTTACACGTACCCTGGTAACAGGGGTGTGTGTCACATGAGATGTGCATGGTGTGACTGCACCCAAACAAGAATACGGTATGTGGCTAGGTAGCCAGTAGTTATGCATGTATTTGGATTTTTCTATATAATTAGTATATTAAGGAAACTCTAAACTTTTCAAATTATAAATAAATAAAAGAGAGAATAAAAAAATGCCCCAACTTTTGCCATATATAAAAAAATATCCCAACTTTTCAAAAAATAAAAAAATACCCCAGCACGTAAATTATCACCGGGGAGCCGCAATATTACACAACAGAAGATGTATTGTATTAGGAATGAATTAGCATAGTTTAACAAAATACCCGACAATAACAAAGTATACATTAATATGCTATACCATTCAGTTTACTATTAACCGAGTAAAGCTAAATTAAAGAATACGTA